GCCCAGGCGGGTCTCGAACCTGTGGGCTCAGGCAATCCACTCACCTCAGCCTCCCAAGGCACGGATTACAGGCTGAGCCACTGAGCCCGGCTAAACATTTTTTTTTTGAGTTGGAGTCTCACTCTGTCGCCCAGACTGGAGTGCAGTGGCCCCTCCCGGCCACCGCAGCCTCGACCTGCTGGGCTCCGGTGATCCTTCCGCCTCAGCCTTCCAAGTAGCTGGAACTACAGGCGCGCGCTACCACGCCCGACTAATTTTTGACTTATTGTAGAGATGAGGTCTCGCCAAGTTGCCCAGGCGGGTCTCGAACTCGCGGGCTCAGGCAATCCACTCACCTCAGCCTCCCAAGGCGTGGGATTATAGGCTGAGCCACCGAGCCCGGCGTTTCCCCTGCTTTCTAACCAGACTTGCCATTCTCCTCCCTGGAGGCAGGAGAATGTGGTTTCAGATTTCAGAGCCAGCCCTCTGGGCCGAGTCTGGCTCCTTATTCCCAGGTTGGACCCCGGGCGAGCTCATGTCTCTGTGCCTCTGTTTCCTAAGTGGGAACAGTCAGGGTTGTTTCAGGTTAACATCCAGAATGCCCTTAGTGCAGTGCCTGGCACGAAGACCCCCCACGGAGGCCCACTCCAGCTGCCCTCCTCGCCTGGGGCCTTCCCTCCAATGCGGCTGCCTCTTAGCCCGGACTCCTGCCTCCAGCCCCTCCTCCTGTCCCCTCTGGCTTAGGTAAGCGGACTCTGGGTCAGCTTTCTGCAGCCGGAGTGCCCAGGACCCTCCCCAGCCCCTGCCAGTCCTCCTTGGCACCCTCCCCTCATGCCTGTGCAGTTGCGACTGTCACCTCCTGGCTGACAAGGGTCTGTGCAGTCACCCGCCTGCTCGGGACTTGGCACAGAAAGCACCCAAACAGTACCTAACTGTGTGCCAGGCAGCACCCTAGGCCCTGTGGACAAAAGGGAGTGAGGTCAGACCCTGCCTCTCCTGGGACTTACCGTCTAGCGGCGAGACAGATGCGTTCTGGGAGAGGACAAAGACATGTGAAGGCCAGCACAGCCTGTCGGAGGGCCACGGGGAGGAGTCGGCGTCATTTTGGGCCGGGAAGAAAGGCCTCTCGGAAAGCGACATTTGAGCACTGACTGAGCCACTGGAGGGAGCCAGTTAGCTGGCGAGCAGCACTCCGGGCCAAAGGCTCCAAGGCGGAGGTGGGGGGGGTGGCGGGCAGATGGGAGGACTAGGAGGCGGGCCGGCCTCGGGCCGCAGCACCGGGGAGGTTCACCCCACTGCAAGCCCGAGGAGTGCTGGAGGCCACCTGTGGAAGCGCCTTCCGGCTGTGGGAGAAGCAGACCAAGAACAGGAGCAGGGAGCCCGCCGGAAGGTGGTGCCGCGATCCAGGCAAGGCCGCTGGGGCTGAGCCCCGCAGGCCGGGCTGTGGGACACGCCCAGATGGAGGCCACTCGCTGAGAAGAGCCAACAGGAGCGGCTCTCTAGGGGAGCAGGTGGGGCCGGAGGGGACAGAGAGCGCAGCGAGGGCGGCAGCTGCCTCGACCCGAGCACCCGGGGGTGGTGGCGCCAGAGACTGAAGGGCGGAGGGCCGGGCCTCCTGACCCGGGCTTATGGACCTTCCAGACACGGCGTGGGACTTCCCACAGACATGGAAGGCTCCAGTCAGCCATGGAGAGAGAAGAGGGGCCACGGGACACAGACGTGGGAACTGCCCGTGGAAGCAGTGAGGAAAGCCACAGGAGTGACCAGGGACACTGGGGCGTCCCCACCTTCTCCGGCAGGCCCCTTTGGACAGTGCCCACGAACGGGGCCTGTCCCCACAGCCTGTCACGTCCACATGGCCCCCGGAGTCACTCAGCACGTCAGAGGACACGAGATGTGCGTGGGACAGCAGAGCAGCTCACGGCCGTTCCTGCCGTTCCCTGGGCCTCAGGGGACGAGGGGCTCGGGAACCATCGGTCCTCGCCGCTCTGACAGCCTCGGACTCTTCTGTCCAGACATGAGATGAAGGGACCAAGAAGACAGAACCTGCAGCTAAGGGCTCGTGGGATGACTGAATCTGTTTCCCCAAACTGTCCCAGGAAGTGGGTAGGAAGGCTGCACTTTCAGCTGGAGGGGGTGCAGCCTTTTTTCCTAACGGCCATCCCGCTCAGAACTGCAACCCATAGAACAGATGCAAAATTTAGAAGACATTGTAATTGGCATATTTACCGATTTTGAAGGTTTAGATCATCTAACACAAAAACTAAAGGTTTAGGATATTTAAAAATACAGCCGTTCAAAATTAAATAAAAACCAACTTGTCAATAGCAAGCTGAAAATGAAAGTGGGCCCTGTGGAAAGGAAAGAGTCATCTCAGACACTGACGGTCTCAGAGCTCCCAGTACCCATGCTTTCTCAAAGAATTCTCAGAGGATGCCCTCCAGCAAAGTGAAAAGCAAACCTGTGAAAGAGAAGGATTCCCCCAACAGTGGTTAGCAAAGAGAACAGCAAACCATAAGAGTTCAATTTAAATAAACGTGGTATCACTTGAAGAGAATGGATGAGAATGCAGAACTAAAATCTGCGATGATTCGCGTATGAGGGTTTGGGCCAGGAGAAAGCAAGCTACTACTGTCCTTGCTTCCTTTGGGAAGAGGCTAAAGATTCGGATCACATCCAGATGCTGATAAAAAATGTGCGCATACACACACCTATGCTCCAGGGGGACCCCCAAGACACCGGAACTATCTTGTAGGGCGGGCCCCTTGTAGTACATTCAGAATTTGTTTCTCCAGGTCAAACAGCCAACCAAGGTTTTTATCTGGGAGTTTTGAGACCATTGAGTCACGGCTTGTGGAAGAAATGTCCTGAGTTGTGCCAAGCAGGTGCCTGGTTCTTTCACCGTGACAACGCACCTGCCCACACCACACTGAGTGTTCGGCATTTCTGACCAAAGATAGCATGATTCTCATGCTTCACTCTCCCTATTCACCTGATCTCAACCCAAGCGACATTTTCTTTTGTTCCCTCGATTTAGAAAGTCCTCAGAGGAAAACGTTTTGCCAAAGTGAAAGGGGTGAAACAAAAAACAGCAAACACTAAAAGACATCAAAACGGACAAGTTCAAAAACTGTCTTGAGCAGTGGAAAAGGCGTCTCAATAGGTGTATTGCATCAAACAGAGAGTGCTTTGAAGGTGACTGAAGTTTAAACATGTAAGAGTGAACACACAATTTCTTATAAATAAATTCTGGTTTTATTTGAGAACCCCTCATATATGGTATAACCACCAGAAG